AAGCCCGAGGCAGAGTTGCTCTGCCCCAGGCTTCCTGGAATCAGCCGCTGATCAGTTTCAGCAGCAGCTGACTTGGGGACGCCTGGGTTTCTTAAGTTGAATCTGTATGTAAGTCAGAACTGGCGTCCAGATTCAGCCGCGGTTGAAACTGATCAGTTTCAGCAACGGCTGACGCCAATTCCGACTTACATACACATTCAACTTAAGAACCAGAGTTGCTCTGCCCCAGGCTTCCTGGAATCAGCCGCTGATCAGTTTCAGCAGCAGCTGACTTGGGGACGCCTGGGTTTCTTAAGTTGAATCTGTATGTAAGTCAGAACTGGCGTCCAGATTCAGCCGCGGTTGAAACTGATCAGTTTCAGCAACGGCTGACGCCAATTCCGACTTACATACACATTCAACTTAAGAACAAACCTATAGTCCCTATCTTGTACGTAACCCGGGGACTGCCTGTATCTTTTTCCGATACTTTTGTCAGAAAAGGCTTTTCTGAAATTTGACCCGTCTAGACTGGGCCACATTTCAGGAAAAAGCCCTCTTACAAAAGCTCCCTTCTTTCTCGTGGAACAGGGACTACAGGGGCTTCCGAAAGAGCGTGTTTGCTCTTCTGCAAAAAAAAAGCAGAAGAGCAAATCATAGAATCATAGAATAATAGGACTGGAAGGGACCTCGAGAGGTCGAGTCCAGCCCCCCGCCCTCAAGGCAGGACCAAGCTCCGTCTACACCATCCCTGACAGATGTCTTCCCTGGATACGGCGGAATTTTTTCAGGATACCATGCAGCCTAGCCGTACCCTCATATTATGTACTTGGGTAAGGGCTGGGCAAAATCTGGCTCTGTACATGTAATAGCAAAGTATTTCATTCCTTCTACAAGAGACTAAAGATAATTCATTTGTCTTGTTATTCCCATGGATATCTCCATTCCAGGAACCCTAAGTGGCATTTTCAGCTTTATCTTGTGAACGCTCCAATTAAAATGTTGTTTTAGATACATCCTCAAAATGCTAAAAACAGTTTTTGTTCCACTTACTGTTTATTGCTTGAGCTATCAACAATATAAAAATTAACTAGTCTAAATAAAAGCGCCACCCTGTTCCTAATCAAGCTGGATTGCAGCCAGGCCCAGCCTTAGGGCAAGGCGAGCAAGGCAGTTGCCTTGAGCCCTGTGCTGCTTGGCGCCCACTCTGCTGCTCGCTCGCTGGCCTGGCTGAGAGCTGCCCGGCTACACGGTGCAGCCAACCACAACATGCCACCTTGGACCCCACAAACTCTTTGACCAGGCCTGATTTCAGCTACCCAAAATGAAAGCAGCAGCTTCTAATCCACTTACTGGATCTCAGGAGAGTCATTAGCAAGATGGGTCAGACATATGAGAACGAGGAGAAACAAGGGAGAGGTGTCAAGTATCAGAGGGGTAGCCGTGTGTGTCTGGATCTGCAAAAGCAACAAGGAGTCCTGTGGCACCTTATAGACTAACAGATGTATTGGAGCATAAGCTTTCGTGGGCAAAGACCCACTTCGTCAGATGCATGTAGTGGAAATTTCCAGAGGCAGGTATAAATATGCAGGCAAGTATCAGGCTAGAGATAACAAGGTAAATTCAATCAAGGAGGATGAGGCCCACTTCTAGCAGCTGATCTGGAGGTGTGAACACCAAGAGAGGAGAAACTGCTTTTGTAATTGGCTAGCCATTCACAGTCTTTGTTTAATTCTGAGCTGATGGTATCAAATTTGCAGATGAACTGCAGCTTGGCAGTTGCTCCCAGAAGTCTGGTCCTGAAATTTTTTTGCTGCAGGATGGCTACCTTTAAATCTGCTATTGTGTGTCCAGGGAGACTGAAGTGTTCCCCTACAGGTTTTTGTATATTGCCTTTCCTAATATCTGATTTGTGTCCATTTATTCTTTTGCGTAGGGACTGTCCAGTTTGGCCAATGTATATAGCAAGGGGCACTGCTGGCACATGATGGCTTACATAACATTCATGGCACTGAACACAATCCACTGTGACTTTGTTAGACTCTTCTAGACCTGGTAGTTTTGGAGCATGGGCTCAGAAGGAAGGGGCTCTCATCAGTGGGAGGCTATTCTTGGAGGAGGGGCAAGGAAAGGTCGAAGTCAACCTGTGGGCTAAGTGTCAGTGATTGCGTGGTCAACATTTCAAAGGTACATACATGCTTTTAGATATATAAGTTCCTGTTTTAGCACCAAAGTCAGTGGTCTGATTTTCATATAGGCCCTTAAACTGAAGCCACTTCTTTGGGTGACTCCTATGGTGAGGGTAGTTGATAGCATTTTAGCGTTTATAAATAAGCTTGCGTTTATTACAGCTAACATTTTCAAGTGTTTCCATGACTTATGGTCCTAAGACATTCAAAATGGAATTTTCAAAAGCACCTTGGTGCCTCTCTCCCATAGGAATGAAATCCTTTTGTGAAAATCCCACTAAGTACCTACCTGCAGAAGAGAAGAGTGAGGGGGGATTAGATAGCAGCCTTCAACTTCCTGAAGGGAGGTTCCAAAGAGGATGGAGAAAGGCTGTTCACAGTAGTGACAGATGGCAGAACAAGGTCCAATGGTCTCAAGTTACTGTAGGGGAGGTCTAGGTTGGATATTAGGAAAAACTATTTCACTAAGAGGGTGGTGACACGCTGGAATGGGTTACCTAGGGAGGAGGTGGATTTTCCATCCCTAGAGGTGTTTAAGTCTTGGCTTGACAAAGCCCTGGCTGGATTGATTTAGTTGGGATTGGTCCTGCCTTGGGCAGGGGGCTAGACTTGATGACCTTCTGAGGTCTCTTCCAGCTCTATGGTTCTATGATTTATATGATCTATAGTATCTAAATACCTTTAAAAATCTAGTCATTAGGCAGTTATGAGCCTAAATCCCATGGACTGTCAAAGAGTTTAGGCTCCCCATTGCCTGCTAAGTTTCTTAATTGTTGAACATCAACTTAAATGGAATAACAGTGAGTTAGAGGGAATAATCAAAAAAGACTAAAACATGAACCACTTAGAGTTCGAACTAGGGTGGTTAATGTAGTAATTCGAAGTTGCAAATGAAGCCCAGGATTTAAATATCCCGGGCTTCATTTGCATTTTGCCGGGCGACGCCATTTTTAAATCTCCGGTACTTCGGACTCCGTGCCCGAATTAGGCTTTCTAATTTGAACTACCTACTCTGTGCCGCGTTTAGCCACGGGCACGGAGTCCGAAGTACCGGAGATTTAAAAATGGCGGCGCCCGGCAAACTGCAAATGAAGCCCGGGATATTTAAATCCCGGGCTTCATTTGCAACTTCGTTTGTCTACATTAACCACCCTAGTTCGAACTAGGGTGGTAGTGTAGACATACCCTTAAAAAGAGTAAAAAGGTATCAAAGGGGTAGCCGTGTTAGTCTGGATCTGCAAAAGCGACAAGGAGTCCTGTGGCACCTTATAGACTAACAGATGTATTGGAGCATAAGCTTTTGTGGACAAAGACCCACTTTGTCAGATGCATCCAATACAACTGTTAGTCTATAAGGTGCTACAGGACTCCTTGTCACTTTTGCAGAGTAAAAAGGGAAATTTCGGTATAGATTGAACTTCTGAAATCCGGACTCTCTAGTATCTCCGGACCATGGATATTGCTAGACCAGAGAGCCCCAGCCACCCAGGATCAGGAGTTTAGCCCCAGCCGGGCCAGGCCAGACAGCGGGGAGCAGAGCCCAGAGATGTCACCTGGGAGCGGCGCGGACAGCCAGGAACGGAACCTTGGCCTGCCCTGTTTAGCAAACTCCCTAGTCTGGGACCGCTCAGGTCCTGAAGGTGCCAGACCAGAGAGGTCCAACCTATATTTCATATAAGATTAGGGCCACAGTTATGAGTTAGAGAATCCGAAAGCACAAAATTAGAAAGGACATCCAAATGATTGTAAATGTGAATGTTAAAATAACTAATAAGAAGCAAAAGAAATTGATGAAAATAAAAATGTGTATTCTGAATAAATAGAGGAATGAATTGGTTCATAAATGATAGACAGCTTGTATTCCAGAGATAAAAAGAAAGCAAATGAAGAGTAAAAAGGCAACGGAAAAATACAATATAAATTGCAGTACTATACAGCTCAGATTATCTGAATGTAACAGGAAAAGGCAGTGGAAAAATACAATGCAAATTGCAGTACTACACAGCTCAGATCACCTGAATGTAATAGGAAAATGAGTTTCATTTGGATAATCAAAGTTCTATTACAAAAACGGTTGGAAGGATTGGGAATCTGCAGTTCTTAAACTGAGCAGAAAAAAAAGGATTTAGAACATAGCTGTACAGCTTTAAGGACATGAATGATTCAAAGCTGCTTGGAAGACTTGGATGCCCAGTTTACAAAGGCAGCTTTGAAAATCTCAGCTTTAAGTGTCTAAAGTTTTTATTAGCTTTTTAGTACCACATAAATCATTTTGTCTGGTGGGGTCAAATCAACTTTTTAATAATCCCAAGTTTATCAGTTATCATGGTCCAGAGAATCAAAGTTCAAATGTATTTACTATTTTGCAGATTCTTTTCAATTTGTATTGAAAACATGTAGCCAAAGCGTAAACTGGTACAAATCAGTGTTCTGCCATTGAAGTTTTTCTGGTTGACACCATGTGAGGATCTGGTCCCTCTCACAACCTCCCATTTTTCTTGAATGATAGTAAAAAGTTTATATTAATTGTGAAGCTGTCAGATATTTCCATATAGCAAAAGATGTAACCTGACTGAAGCTCAACACAGCAATGCTGTTAAAGTGGCCTTTTGCAGAGTTTACTGACTGCTTTGAACTGGGCGGTATACAATAACAAGTTTGGAAATACTGATGAATTAACAATGTGGTGATGGGAGAGGAATGTCTGGTGCTCAAACAGAAGTTTTTTCTCCCAGATGTGAACTTCTGTAACTTGCCAAAAACATATAGAAAGAAGAGTAAAAAACAGCATTTTCAGCTATAACTTTCAGAGGTATGGAAAGAATGAAACACAGCTTCATTTAATCTTTCCTCTGTTAACTGCTGTGCTTGTTGACATAACTGAAATAAAGATGCAATCAAAAAAATCACAAGAAAATTAAATAGAAAGCAAGAACCCTATAGTTTTCACTGTTTTTCTTGTGCTTTGTGTTTGTTTTAAAGCAGTTAAAAGACCAGATCCTTTGGCAGCACAAATCAGCCTCACTCAATTAAATCAACACTGCTAGTCCAGTTTATCCCTGCTGAAGATCTGATCCCGTATTGTTTTATTTTTGCTTTCACATAAATTTATGCACTTTATTTTGTGCTTATTCTGCATGCCTAGCAATTACAATTCCATTTCAGTTGGTTTTATTTGAGTTGTTTAAATTTTTGTGAAATTTAAATTATTTCCTCCATATGTTAATCCACAATTTTCTTCTTTTGCAGCTGTATAAAAATCTGTGGACAATAGTCCTTCAAGGCAGCAAGGTGCTTGAGAGACCATCATGGTGGGCAGAATTTTGTGTTAATAAACCTGTTATCGGCAAGCTGAGAGCCAGGATGTAAATCAAACATGTAACAGTGGCCAAGATCGAGTATATTTCAGACGGTGAGAGGGAAGGAGCACATGTTTCAAATGTTGCAATTGGAGGCGATTTTATACAGAGGATGCCAGGAGATCGAATGAGTTTGAAATCAGATATCACCTCAACTTAAGGACTGTTGACATAGGGGCAAGAACACCACATCTGCATGTCGTTCATGGTAATCATGTTAATGTTAATCAATTTCAGATTAAAAAAAAGTCTCATTAAAGTTAATTACTTCTCATAGCTTCAGTACGTATACAACTATATATTACTTCCTTCAGTGGCCTGACAGCAAGTTGGGTCTAAAAATCTTGCAATTGCAGGCATGTTTCAGAAGTTAAACAGGCAAAAAAACAAAACTATGGAACTATGAACAGACAGGCCAGTTTTACATTTTCAAGTTTCTAGGAGAGTATTAGCAAAATAACTGGGAACTTAGAACATGGCAGAATTTTCAGAGGGGATAACCTAGGATAGCATCATTGAAATCAGATAGGAGTCTCTTCAAAGTTCATAAAGCTTCTCTGCTTTATACCATCTGTTCTACAACATTTAAAATAGTTGGTTGTTCTTTCAAAGCAGGAGAAGTGATAAGTTGACTTTCACTTCAAGGTTTTGATTAATCCTCTCAAGTTTTGCATCACTGTAGATATAACAAATCCAAAGTTTCTCATTCACTTGTCATTGTTATGTTAATTTATGGTAATACAAATGGGAAAAGATGGTGGAACTTCACTAGTAGTAAGAATGGTTTTTTTCCCCCCCTTCCAATAGAATTGTTAGCTTTTAAACTCAACAGATCAGCTGATGTAAGTCAACCATGTTGGAGCTGCACCTTCTTCCCTCAAGTCTAGATTTAATTCAGTAATCTGGCTGTGGGTTGTTAAAAATAAAAGTGTTTCTGCTACCAGATACAAAATGTAATATATTATAGACATTGGTCAGGGACAAGAAAATAGAATGATAGTGACTGCAGCTGAGGGAGCTTTTGTATGTTTAATAAATATTCCCCAAGTAATGAGTAGTTTACTTTGCAAATGCAGAGGCACTAGTAAGTTTTTAAGTGCTGAATATTTTATACTTATAAAATCTGCAAAGACATTGCCTGCTTTTCTATACTGTGTGATTTCCCTGTTCATCTGAACTGACCTAGGACCAAATCCTGCTCACCTTACTCCTGTGAGCTGTCCTGTTCAAGATAGAGGGATTATTTATTAGGAAGGTGCCTAGGATTCAGGGCTTGAGCCCATGCCATCGATTCTCAATAGGAGCAGGATCAAACCTCTGGCTCTTAGTGGATTTTTTTCAAATTGTCACCATTCCATTCCAGCCCTACCCATTATGATTATGATGAAGTGTTTCTATATCAGTAATTCAACATTTGTAAGTCTTTATAGTGTTATGACTCAAATATTAAATAACTATTATTGTGCTGTTTTTTGTGTGCAAATATTGCTAGAATGCAATTAACCAAAGTAAAAAATAAAGTGGTATTTTCACTTTTTGCCATATGATCGAGTACTTATATTGCTCCTTCTATTGTTTCACCAAAGTCAGATAGAACGTAGGAGGTATTTCACTGCTGGAAAAACCATTGAAATGTCATTTCATTTTAACAATATGCTCTCAGAGTATCTCAAGGTACATTTTCCAAAGCAGAAACCTTTTAAAGATTAGTTTAAAGTGCCTCAAAGTGAACAAATCTTATTTTAAACCCTGCCTGTAGTTCTCATTTTCTCTTTTTTTTCCTGCTCTTCATTGTCTCTTACCAGTTGTACAGCAGAGAATCCAAGTTCTCTTTTCTCAACTGCTTTTTTCTAGCAATGTCGTCATTTTTATAGCGATACATCAAAAATCAGAATATCCCAACAGAATATTTTGTCTACCATCTGTACTATAAAATATAGATGAAAGTTTGGTCAGATTTACTAAAACTCTTTGTGCATCTCAGAATATATTTTCTTTGAATTGCTTCACCTTGTTAAGAATATCCAATATGTGGCATTATCCCATAGACAAAATTTAAACCAGTGGTCTCCAACCACAAAATTACTTTTTCAATGTAAGTACAATGTAAGATCTACTTCAGACCCAAATACCCTTGCCCCATTTCCTTTCTGCCCCTTCTCCACCCCTTCTCTGAGGCCTCACCTTGCTCACTTCAACCCCCTTCCTCTCCCACCCTCACTTCCTTTCACCAGGCTGGGGTAGGAGGTTGAGATGCAGAGTCTGGTCTTGGGCCAAAGGGTTTCACATGTGGGAGGGGCTCTGGTCTTAGCCTAGGGTGAGGGATTAGGGTCCAGGAAGGGGTTCAGGTGCAAGCTCTGGGAATGAGTTTGCTTGCAGGAGGTTGGATGTGGAGGAGATTCAGGGCTGGGAAAGAGGTTCAGGAAGCAGGCTCTGACTGGGCATTTAACTGAGACAGCTTCTGGGTGGTGGAGCAGTGAGGTTAAAGCAGGCCCTATACCACTCCTGAAATCAGCTGGCATGTACAGCAATAGCTCCTTGGCACCATGTGCTGCCCCTCATCTACAGACACTGTGAGCTCACATCTTCTACTGGACATGGTTCCCCATTGTTGATCAATAGGAGTTGCAGGAGTGGTGTCTGCAGGCAAGGGCAGCCTGTGAAGCCCCCCTGCTCTGCCTCTCTCAAGTGCTGTGGGGACATGCCAGCCACTTCCAGGAACAGCAGTTACCACAGGGATAATTACTCCAGCCATGACAGGTTAGGCATTTTAGAACTCATTACTCAAATAATTAAATTTAAGCATAAGAGAAATGAAAAGTATGAAACGCACAGGCCAGTCAAAAACCAAAAATATCACACTTTGCAAGCAGTAAAAGGAGTAACAATAACCCACCACCTGCGTGTTGAGAGATGAGAGTGAAGGACAGTGTGTGTTTGTGAGAATGACAGAGATTTGCATTGCCAAGCTCCCTCCATCCCCTTCTCTCTGTGTGGAGGTAGGGTACAAGAGTGGCAGGAGGAAAGACACCCTGACATCAGCGCCCTGGCCCCTTCTCCCTCCCACATCCTGTATAGCAAGCAGAAGGCTCCTGGGGGGCAGCTCCAAGGCAGAGGGCAGGAGCAGAATGACAGTTGGTGGAGGGGCAACTGAAGTGCCAGTGCTTGATAGCTTCCCAGCCAAACCAGTTAGTATCACCTGTCAGAGGCTCTAAGATCTACTGTTAGATCCCAGTTGGTGACCACTGATTTATACACTGTTCCACTCAAGCTCTATTATCCTTAGGTCCACACACAGAAGGTGGAGACTCTTGTAATTGTTATATTTACATAGCAGGACTAAAGTCAAATTAAGCTACATAACTTCATTTACGTCAATTGCATAGCTTAAGTCAAAATAGCTTAATTCATCTTTTGGCGCTGTCTACACAACAGGAAGTCGACAGAAGAACACTTCCTTCAACTCTCCTTACTTATTGTGAAATGAGGGTTACCACGAGTTGGAGTGAGAAGTCCTCCAGCTTGACACTATTTTGGAATAAAGGCTTGTAGTGTAGAATAATGTTAGTTATTCTGAAGTAACGCTGCTGTATAGACATGGCCTTTGTGTTTGTATAGATGTTACTGTAACTTTAACTATACAGTAGAGGGCAAATCATGATTAGACTCAAAAGTCTACATTAATGCTGTTAGTTCCTGCTACTCTAATGAGCAAGTATTTGAGTGATCACCAAGGGAACTGTACATCCCAGTTCTCCCCACCATTGTGATCTATGTGATTGGGCTCTTACAAGAGAAGAGAGGGGGATAGAGGCATGTCATAGTTAGTGCCACTAATGCACAGCACAAATAGTTTAGTTCAAATAATTTTTTGGGGTGGGGGGAGGGGAGGGAAATAAAATGAAAATATACATGCTTCCTGTAAATCATTGCTCTGGGGTGGAGCTGGGGATGAGGGATTCAGTATGCAGGCTGCCCCAGTCCTCTCTCACCACAGCAGTTAAGAAGAAGCTAGTTGAGAAGCATCTGTCCAGGGCCACTGCAGCTCCAGCAGGCACAGCCAGTGGAAAGGTGCATGTCCTCTGAGTGGGGCAGGTCCAGGTTCATCTGCCCCCTAAGCTTCCCAGCCAGAGTGAGGAATGCAGCAAACTGTGCACTTTCCCCTTACTCCCAGAAGAAGAGGAATAGCCAGCAATGTTCCCATACAAATCAAGGGGGGGGAGCTGCAGCCCCCCTCACTCTCCCCAAAGGGCACCTGCGGGGTAGGAAGTTTAGGGCAGGGGCAGCACAGGACAAACACGGTGTCCCACCCACCAGCCCCTTTCACCTGCCTGGTGATTCTCTTTTCTCTATTATTTTGAGAGATACAGTCCCATTCCAGTTACATCCCATTTTCCTGACACGAGAAAACCCTTACCTTGCTTAAGTTATAAGAGGAAGCTGTATACCTAATTTGGTGGTCCTAACTCTTACATTCAGGAGTTCCTGAAGAAACAGAAAGATAGGCAAACTCTCTGAAATATAGAGTAGATTAATACTGTGGTAGCATCCCAATCAGAATTGAGATCCCATCATTCTAAGTGCTAGAAAAATTCATAGTCCTTGATCTGAAGCATTTACAATTTAATGTGAAACCACCACTGACAGGGGAGAAGTGAGGAAAAGTAGGATAACTCATATATAACCACAGAAATTAACTATGGCATAACTTGCTGGCTGTGGGTTATTTGAGAAATTTATTTTTTCTCTTTAATATCAGTTCTCCCTAACTGAAGTTTACAGAAATTCAGATTTCTTAATATTAAATACTTTAAAAAACACACTAAGATGTTCACTGTTGTAGACCCTATAAATACTTTCACATGGAACTAATGCTTATCACATCAAGTGTACATATGACTTATGATGGGGAATTTTCATTAGTCATATTTTTTTTTAAATGTACTGCTCTGTCTACAAAATTGAAAAGGAAAATCTAAATAATAGTTCTGTCTTTGTAAAGAACAAAAAACAGACAATTTTGGCCTCCATCACTTGGCTGTGCTGCAGCAGTCAAGTAGCAAACAGTTCTCTCAGAACTATATTGGTAAGACTTAAAAAAAAAACCTCAAAACATGGGCAAAGGCCTATGTGCAAACTGAAAGTATAATTTGCATGGGAAGAAAAAGGTATAGCGCACGAAGACCTAGCACAATGAGTCTAATTAGAAGTTTTCATTAAAGGGGCATAAGAATGGATAAAAAAGACTTAAAGTGCCCACTTAACCACTATATACAGTATGTGCTAGAACATTGGTTTTTGTTCACATATTCGCATACAGCAGGTTTAGATAATAAGTGAATATGTGACACATAAAGTTTGGAATCTACCTTTTTGAGCAATCACTTCTCTCCCCTGCCACGTTAGAAATAATTATAAGCATTTGAGCTGGATATTCCTTGGGAGAAGGTTCTCTGTAAGGGCCCTGGGATTGTGGATCATGCACCAAAATAGCTCAGATCGGATGACTTTCAGCATGTTGCAAAGCCATTCATTTGACTGGATTTTTTGGAGACCGTTGAGGGTAAGTTCCTTGATACAGAAAGGTATGGGAAGGATCCACTCTCACTCTCTGTGTTGTGCAGATAAGATTTTGTTAAAAAGATTAGTGAGTGCTTGTAAAATTAAGACAGCTCCTCAGTGGTCAGTGGTATTAAGAAACCTACTTCCAATTGGTGTCAGTGCGAGATACCTTTGAGGACTTGGGCATAAATAATTACCAGTACCCCTTTCAAGTGTCTGATTTGTCTTGCTCACTTAAAAATGACTTCCTTATAGACTCAGAAAGAAGCCCAGAAGTGTCCCAGCATACTATTAGCAAAACACAGGGAAGAAGAAAGTGTCAGTAAGAGAAGGTAAGAATCAGGCCTTTTCTCACCTCATCTTTTCTTACTGTTTTCTGTGTATCTGTGAGGAATAAAGAATGCTTTGTATTGAAGAAGCTGCTTGAGCCCACTAGGGAAGTGGTGGAATCTCCACTCCTGGAGGTTTTTAATACCTGGCTGGGATGATTTAGTTGGGATTGGTCCTGCTTCGAGCAGGGGGTTGGACTTGATGATCTTCTGAGGTCTTTTCCAACCATAATCTCCTATGATTCTATGAGTTACTTTATCAGCTACCTCTTGAGAGGAAGAGTTCACAGTATCAAATGCTAATGGCAAGTTATGTTACAATAACAGGGAATCAGATGGGCTACTGCCCAGAGATCCTGGAGAGGCAGAACCAAGGGTTTCGGTCCCTGAGAGAAATGGAGGAACCTAAGGTGATCACCTCACAGGCTCACTCGAGAGAGAAGTATCTAAAGGGGTCTAAAGCATAATCTATTACATAACCATGATATCTCTCATCTATTCCTATTTTCCTGGTTTAAGTGTGTCTGTAAAACTACCTAATAATAATTAACACCTAGTGCCCTTTAAAACTGTTCCCTTTTTTGACAACTGTTCCCTTTGTTCCCTCACCAAAGGCTCTTATTTAAATTACATGGCCATGGGATAA